AATAGCTCAGGGGGTGTTAGAACCAATCGATCACGCCCGTTGGGAAACCCCGATTGTAACTCCCATAAAGCCTGATGGATCGATAAGAATTTGTGGGGATTACCAGGCCACCCTAAATCATGCGCTTCAGCAGAGCGCTTACCCGGTACCTGTGGTCCAACATCTTCTTCACTCCTTGGGTGGCGGAAAAATATTTGCAAAATTGGACCTTGCCCAGGCATACCAGCAACTACCCGTAGATGCAGAAACTGCTGAGGCCCAGACTATAGTCACGCACAGAGGTGCGTTTAAATGTAATAGACTCCAGTTCGGAGTGAGTGTAGCACCAGGCATTTTCCAAAGCCTGATGGAGAGACTGCTACAAGGCATAAAAGGAGTCGTGCCTTATTTCGATGACGTATTGATAGCTGCCCCCACTAAAGACGTATTAGAGAAACAACTCAGAACGGTCCTTCAGAAATTCAAAAACGCCGGTTTAAAAGTAAAAAAAGACAAGTGTCAACTTTGTACTGAGAGGGTTGAATTCCTGGGGTACCTTCTTGACAAAAAGGGAATCCATCCCACTGAGAAAAAAGTAACTGCAATAAAAAACGCCCCAAGACCCAGGAATAAAACAGATCTCCAAGCCTTCCTAGGACTCATCAACTTTTATAACATCTTCTTGCCCCAAAAGGCGACTGTAGCTACATAGACTACTCGACAAGAAGGCTTCCTGGGTCTGGGGACACCGGGAAGAACGAGCCTTCCAGCAAGTAAAAGATCTCTTAACCTCAGATGCTGTATTAATGCAGTATAACGAGACTTTGCCTTTAACGGTCACCTGCGACGCTTCACCGTTTGGGGTAGGAGCCATCTTAAGTCATGTCCTACCAAACGGAAATGAAGCACCTATTGCTTTCTTTTCACGAACTTTATCAAAGACTACTATAACTCAAATTACGGGCCCCAGATCTTACCGTCTACAAACTAGCGATGGGAAATTATGGAAGCGCCATATAGACCAACTTCGTTCCCGATTGGCACCTAACCCTATCTCAACTCCTGAATCTCAAACTGGGGGGGGAAGGGAAATCGAGGGGGCCGAAATAGAAATAGAAACCCACTAACTGACGCCCAGCAGTCTGCACAACCAACCATGGGATACTCACCTTCAGGAGGAGGACCGAGCCGGGTGATTGTTTCGCCACAAAGCAGCCCGGCCATAGAAGCAAGTCCAGGGAACCCGGATGACAACAGAGAGGACAGCCCTGAGTCCCCGAGCGAAACAGTGGAGCCGTTTTCACCACCCGGTCCTACAGACAGCCCACCGGAGTCCGCGCCAGAGCAGAGACCGGTGGAACAGTGAAAATCGAATAGACAGGTGAAACGGCCTGCCTACTTACGAGAATACATCACCCCACCCCTAAGACGGAACCTAGGGGGAAGGGATGTTACGAACTAAACAAACTCATTTGACAATAACTATACTAGCTTACTTCAGCAGCAGGCTTGTAATCCTGCACTTCGGATTGGCCCGCGGATAAGCGAATCGTGATTGGCCGATTCTGGCTGATCTGATTGGCTGACAACGGGCCGTCTCTGATTGGACGCTTTTAGAGCGGTTAGTTCAAATTCATTGGTCGTTGTGACAGCAGCCAGCTCTATAAAAGAGCTGCTGCTGCCCTAGTTGTTGCTCTGTTCTGAAGTCACTATTAAAGAGTTGAATTGAGTCACTATCGATGCCTCGTCTCCGTTATTGCACCCACTCCTCCAGATCTAACATTAAAGGTGAAATGCCTTGTGAGTTACTTAAACAGCAGTAACTGTTCCTTTAAGCCTGCAGGTAATCCTACACAAAGCAGTTTAAGGGACTTCAAAGCTAGAGCGCCCATCAAAATTATTCTGCTGTCTTAATGGTAGAAAGACTGTCTTGTTTCTTAGTTCCTGCTCCATCATGAATAATGCACCTGGGCCCATTATTTGTGACATCATTTGTCTAATGGTTTGCATTTTCACATATTTGGGGTTAGGAGAGGAAATAGTTCCTAATAGAGAGAAGGAGATTGATCTATTCTCCAAAGTACATGAGGGCAAGACAAGAAGTAATAGGTTGGAGGTTAGCAAAGAGACTTCCAACCTAGAATTAAGGAGAAATTTTATGTCAGTGAGAACAATTAATCAGTGGAATGGCTTGTCTTCAAAAGATGTGGATGCTCCATCACTGGAGATTTTTAAGAAGAGATGGGACAACCATTTGTCTGAAATGGTATAGGGTCCCCTGCTTGAGGGGGTTGGACTCGGGTGGAATTCTACCGGTTCAGACCGGTTCTATAGAACCAGTTGTTATGATTCTGCGTAGTTCAGAGAACCAGCAAATTGTGCCCCTCCCTGGCCCCACCTCTCTCTGCCCACCCCTCCCCTCCCTGCCCAGTGAGTCCTTATCATGCATGCGTGACATTGCGTGCATGCCCGACATCGCTGACTGCATTCTTCTCACTCCTTAAGGTATTTCTTTTTTCCCCCTCCCAACAATCAGCTGTTCCGATGATCAGCTGTGCTGGGATCCGCCTGCTGTTTTACTGCTTCACCCAGGAGGCTTCCCTGAGGCCCAGGAGGCAAAAAGGGGCAGGGGCAGGGGGAGCTGAACCCCCCCACGCTCCATTTTTGGCCTTCCTGCGCCCCAGGGAGCAAAAATGCCCCTCCATTTTTTCACTTCCTGGAAGCAAAAACATTCCCCCAGGAGGCTTCCCTAAGGCCCAGAAGGCCAAAAAATGGAGCGTGGCTCCATTTTTTTGCCTTCTTGGGCCCCAGGGAAGCCTTCTGGG